TAAACTATTAAGCTTTACAAGTATAAAGCGTTATTCTGACAATAATAAAATCTATCCAATTAAGGAAAATGTAAATCATTCTCTTCCTCAATTCCTAAAGAGCTCAGGCAATGGGCAGTCTCAAGCCATCACTCCTAAAAATACTCCCTCTACCTTTGTAACTGTGGAGCCTCTTTTGAGCATATATATAAAATAATATTATAATATATAAGTATATACTATGATTATACATATAATATACTTTATATATTTAATATATTATATAATATGTATTGTACATACTAATATATATTATATATTATGTATATGTTACACACACACACACACACACACACACACACTATTTTTTTTTCAGTTGTGGGGCTTGAATTCAGGGCCTGGGCACTATCCCTGAGCTTCTTTGTGCTCAAGGCTAGACCTCTACCACTTGAGCCACAGTGCCACTTCTGATTTTTGAGTAGTGAATTGGAGATAAGAGTCTCAAGGGGACTTTTCTTTGAACCATGATCCTCAGATCTCAGCCTCCTCAGTAGCCATGAGCCATCAGCACCTCACTTGATCTTATATTTCTAAAAATTAACCATTTTGAGAACAATCTGTTTTAAGATGGTACAACAAAGATGTCATGGGGGACATTTTCTAATCTGATGCATAAACAGAAAAATATTCTATGCTCAAATATCCAATTTCCAAATTACCGATTGTGTCCAGCTTTCTTGTGTTAAAATATAAAAGCCAGGCTGGGAAGTTGGCTCAGTGGTAGAATGCTTGCCTCACATGCATGAGGTACCACATAAGCAGAAAAAAGCTGGAAGTGGTGCTGTGGCTCAAGTGGTAGGGAGCTGGCCTTGAGCTGAAGAGCTGAGGGACAGCGCCCAGCCCCAGAGTTCAGCCCCCATGACCAACCAAAAAAAAAAAAAAAGAGAGAGAGAGAGAACTGTGAAAATTACCTAAATAAATGCTGTGTTATTACATTTATAATTTGATGCCTATCTTATGAGCAGTAAATATAGCATCTCCTAAATATCACAAGGTAAGCAAAATTATCTGTAGAAAATACAAGAACTTGTGTTAAATCCTAAGTGACAGAAATATATACAAATGCATGCACATACACATATATGAGTGCACACACAGAACTAGTATATGGGATAGCTAATAAAAGAAGTTTATTTACTTGCAAAAAGGGAGAGAAATCTTCTAATTTATTTATATTTTCATTGGAAAAATGTTTAAAGTGCCTCTGGGAAACAGTAATTAATCACTGCATTCCAACTGCCTTTTGCTATTGATCTAAAAACATTGCTTACAAATAAGACTGAAATAAATTACCCAATAGTGCACAAGAACTTCAAAATCTGAGATCAGTATACTTTAGTAATTTTGATTGTACACTTGGAGGATATAAAATGCAATGAAAAACCGGGAAAATTTGAGTAGATCTGGATCCAATTCCTGATTCTGTCAAGAATTACTAGTTGATGACACAAAAATTCTGAGCTTCAAGTGCACCCAAATGTAAATCTCATAATCTGTCTCTAATGATTCATTCTCAATAGAATTCCAATATAAGCAAACTTAACAGAAATTTGGAATGGACATGTTTGTTAAGGGTCCCAAGACCACCCCAGGATTAGTGGTTTACTACAAAGACTTAGCATACAGTTGTATTCATACTTATGACTCAATACGTGAAAGGATACAAAAAGCAAAGTCAGAAAAAAAGAAAAGGTACGTGAGGCAAAGTCCAGTAGAAACCAAGGCAAAGCAATGGCAGCTGCTAGAAGCAGAGAAGTCATCAGAGCTTTCAGCAATTTCAAAGGATTTCAGGCAAAAACTGGAGTTCTGAGCTGCCAGGTTTCCTGAAAAAATGGAGTTGCAGAGATGTGACTCCAACATTCAATTTTCCACAGAAGCATTTGACAAATTTTAAACTATATAGTGTAAGAGGCTTTTTAAAGAGCAGCAAAACAAGATGAAAAGTAAACAAACCACAGAAATCTTGAGGAAGTCTTGTGGGAGGAAAGGAGGGAACCTAGACCTTGAATCATGACTAGAGGGCTGTAACCTAGAAAGCAAAGAGGAGTTGTCAAGTGTTAACTAGATTCACACCTTTGTGACCCCTGCAAGCTAGTTCAGTGGCTCACTGTGTTTTGGAGAACAGTTCTATTCTAAAAGCATATCAGAGAATAAAACCAATCCTCTTTGATTAAAAATATCTGTAGCCTCTTAAGAGTGTCCAGCATTTGAGCAAATATTACCAGGCATATCAAGAAATAGAACCAGAGGGGGGGAAATACAATAGAAACAGATCCATAAGTAGTCTAGCATGGGAGTTATTAGACATTAACTTTAAAACAACTGTAATTAGTAAGAAATTAGAAAATAAATCTAGGGGCTAGAGGTGTGGCTCAAGCTGTAGAGCAGCCAAGTAAACAAGCTAAGAGAATATGCAAAAGCATTGAGTTCAAGTTTTGGTACTAACAAAGTAAATCCAGGTAGGGGGGCAGGTGGAATATAAAACTTGAAAGAAGCTAGTAGCAAAGAAGAGCTTTCAATAAAATGAAGATGATGGCAAAGTGGTAAAATTAATGAGCTTACTTTCCAACTCCAACTTCCTTCCCTTTGCTAAGTATCAGCAGCAGAGGGAGCTAAGGAGGAAACAGTGATTTATATGACAAAAGCCCTAGCCCCAGAGCCAGTAATTTTTAAAGAATGAGTTTCTGAATGCAATTAATTTGCACCAAAGGTTTTATTAGAGCATTAGAATATCAGGTATCTTCTTCAGCCCATGCCCTAATTCACAAAAACATGAAACTGGCTGGCAAGAAAACCAAAAGGCAAAATCAAATCACTATCCAGAAAACAAGTGGGGTTAGGGAGAGGTAAGTCAAAGTGTATTCAAAAAATTCTGGCTTTGAACTTACGTATTTCATACAATATTCCTCAACTTAAAAAAAAATCACCCCTATAAGAGCTTGGGAGGTGAGGGGCCTAAGTCTTTTTTTTTAATTTTAAATACATATTTTTATTGTAAAGATACTGTACAGAGAAAGGGGTTACAGTTACATGAGCAAGGTAATGAGTCCATATCCTATCAAGCATTGCTACTCCCTCCTTTGTTTTTCCCCTACCATCCCAGTTCCTCCCTACCTCCTCGACTCCCCCCCCACCCCCACCTTTTCTTTATTCTTTTTTCTTCGTTTTGTGTGTGTGTGTGTGTGTGTGTGTGTGTGTGTGTGTGTGTGTGTGTGTCAGTTGTGGGCTTGAACTCTGGGCCTGGGCACTGTCCCTCAGCTCTTCAGTTCAAGGCTAGTGCTGTACCACTTGAGCCACAGTGCCACTTCTGGTTTTCTGAGTCATTTACTGGAGGTAAGTCTCCCGGACTTTCCTGCAAGGGCTGGCTTTGAACCATGATCCTCAGATCTCAGCTTCCTAAGTAGCTAGGATTACAGGCATGAGCCACCAGCACCTGGCTAAGTCTTTTAAGACAGTGATTTTTTCCCCCTATCCCTCCTCTGATTATTTATGATTAAGAATTAAAAGATAAAGTTGGAGGGTACAGTTCAGGGATAGAGAACATGACAAGACCCTGGATTCAGTCCCCAGTAAGTGTGAGTGAGTGGGTGTAAACTGAGGAGAAATAGAATCTGAGAAGATACAGCTAAAGAGGGAATGGATGATTTGAAGGTGGATTAGAAAGAACATGCAGAAAGAAAAAAAAAACAGAAACAAAAAATGCATTCATAATAGAATAAAAGGCAGGTGATACAGTGAAAAGATCTAATATAAATGTAAGTGGAGTCACAGCAACTTATGGGAAAGAAATAAAATTTGAAGATGGCTAAAAAGTTTCCAAAACTGATAGATGATAAAAGTTCACAAATTAACAGACCATGTAAATCTCAAAATTTATAAAATTAAAAATCATTTCTATTTTATACTACTATCAAAAACTGTAATAAATCTAGAAAGTACTGTCATCCTAAAAGACAGATCACCAGACCAGCCAACTTGACAACTCAAGAGACAACTTGACAAAGAAAGACAAGAGGACAACAGAGTAATACTTTCAGTGTGTTAAATGAGAATGTAACTAGATTCTATATCTTAACAAAAATACCACTCAAAAAGGACGGTAATGACTTAACAGTGCTCTTTGAGAGGAAGAAAAATGACTTCAGGTACAATCAAAAGGAAGAAATAAAGAAGAAATGTAGAAGAAAAAAAGAGAAGAAGGTGAAGGCTGTGTGGGTTAAGATCTAACAACATTGATGAGATTATATAAAATAATATCTGGCCAGGCACTGTGGTCCATGCCTATAATCCTAGCTACTCAGGAGGCTGAGATCTGAGGATCATGGTTCAAAGCCAGCCCAGGCAGGAAAGTCCCTGAGACTCTTTATCTCCAATTAACCACCAGAAAACCAGAAGTGGTACTGTGGCTCAAGTGGTAGAGAGCTCATTTTGAGCTAAAGAACTGAGGGACAGTGCCCTGAG